TTAATTGTCACATCGGGTGATGCCAGTATTATGGCCTGTCGAGATTTTGGATGTCGGGATTTTGTGGTAAAACCATTCTTGTCATACCAGAAACGCAACGAGATTCATCTCATTTCACTGACAGTTATTTTATCGATTTTCAATTCTAACCAACACTAACTTAAAGTCAGGCTAACTCTAACTGTAAATTGGGCCAACTTTAATTGTCGGTAAAATGGTCGTTGGGAAGAAAATCCATCGATGTTTTGTTTACATCCAACTCTGCGTAACCGATTAAGCCAATTTGTAAACTTCGACTTAGTTGAGTCGACAAATTTAAATACTAATGCGCACAAGCGTCATTGTTATGGAGATTGCATCTTTTAAAAACATTATATTTTGGTTCAAACGACGCCCATGTACGTATCAGAATAACGTGCACTTATATAATAAGTATTGACATGCACATTAGGTCTAAAATTTTGATATTTTATTTAGAAATAACACATATATAGTTTCTTCAAAATAATAAAATAAAGCGCAGAGTACGTTATTCGCGACTATACTATAGTATATAAACTATCTAAAACTCTTGTCCCGTTTAGATTCCATTCCTTACCTGCCCACCAATCAACATCTTTGCTATGTAAAAGCACAAGACAATATTGGAATAACCGTCGTTGTAATCCCAATTCAGGATCAATGAGTCAAAAGTGGACTTAGAACGTAAAATTTCAATGTAGCTTTTGATGTTCTTCAATAATATTTTCTACACTTTAAAATTGCACATTTTCTATAGGAATGATTAATTGCAAGAATCTGCGGTTCTGAAATTTCTTATTTAGCGTATCTTTGCATGATATCTTTGTGCATCATTTCAACAATTTGGCACAAAACCTTCATCATTAATAGGCGATGGGTTTCAATAAAGACGTAATAAGCGCAAGATCTTTCTATATATGGTTTTCACAAAAACTTATCGTTATGCCAATGTCAGAAATTGCTTTTGGAAGGATATCACTTTTAAAGATGTTTACACTATTTACAAGCTATCTGAACTCTTTTCGAGGCAAAAATTCCAGTAACATCATTAATAAAGCCTGTTTATATCATCAAATTCCTGCAACGAGAGATAAACAAGAATGAAAAGAGATAAGAAACACTACAAAAGAATGAAAAGAATGATAAAAAAGTTAACCTTTTATGAAATCTAATTATAATTTATCCTTACAATGGCCGAATGAAGTCCAATAAATTCTTCAGTAATAAATTATGTTTTTGGGCGAAGGCAACTATTTGTAAATGGATA